CACCATGCCTGACTCCCCCCGGGCGCCCTCCCGCCGGGAGATCGAGCAGTCCATTGAAGCGCTTGACGTCCTCATGCTGGATCTTGCGCCCGCCGTCCACAAATCGCAGAGTGTGCCTGCCGCCTCCCGCCAGGACAAGTCGGCGGGACCCCTGCTCTCCTCCCTCTCGGCCCAGCCTGTTGCCGGTCTCTACGCCCGGCCGGCTCCTCAAGTGGTCCAGCCAAGGTCCTTCGGCACCTCTGTGAGCCCTGTGGTCTCCGAGCCTGGGGGCAAAGCCTATTCTCCTGGGGAGCTGGACTATGGGGTGCACGAGTACCGGGAAACCTATTCGCCTTACAGCTACCAGCCGGCACCGGTGCCGGAGCCGAGGAGCTACAGCCATGCCCCGGCCGGAGCACCGATGGGCATCCTCCCACTCAGCACCTCCTACAGCCCCGTGGGGTCTCAGCAGCTCCTCGTGTCCTCCCCGCCTTCCCCTACCATCCCTCCACAAGCCCAGATGCCCCCCAAGGGACCGGAGAGCTATGAAGACCTGTCGAGGTCAGCAGAAGAGCCCTTGAATCTGGAGGGCCTGGTGGCCCACAGAGTGGCAGGTAGGATGCTTTGATTCCTTGGGGGAATGGGGGAGATCGCATGTCCCAAGAAGCTGGAGTCTATGGGGGTGGTGCATGGTGGATCCGAGGACGGGAGTTGCAGCGAGACCTTGTCCGTGCCGGATCCAGGGTTGGGACTGGACCACCCGCCGTGGGGGCACGCCGGGCAGGGGGGCAGCCTGTGCCCCTCTCCTTTGCCGAGCCCCACCTTGCAGCTCGCCGCAGCATTGCCCAGAGGTGGGGAGAGGGGGTGGCTGAGGGGGGTCGGGCCCCCCCCATCCTCACCCCTTTGGGGTATGGTGCCAGTCTGTCCCCTGCAGCCGGGCCACTTGCTGGGTCCTGGGACAATTTCTCTCTTTTGGGGAGAATATAGCCGAGTTTGGGAAGACATTTTCAGCTGTGGCTGCGGGTGTCCTGCCTGGACCACGCCTTGGACATGATGCTCTTCCTGCCTGGAGCGTGCTCTGGTGTAAGGTCCCAGCAGAGCGTTTGCCTTGTGTTTCATGTAGCTGGGCTCCTCCCTGATTTCAGCCTCCGCTTTCCTCCCAGCGTGCTGGGCTTGGTGTTCGGACCTCCTCTCTGGTGCTCGGACCTCCTCCCCAGGCAGCCAGGGTGCTGCTGGAGAGGGGGGACCAGGGTCTGTGTGGTTTGAAGCTGGACCTGGCCTCGGGGCAGTGGCCAGGGGCTGGGAAGGCATTTACCAGCCCTGCCAGGGGGCTTTGGTGCAATGCTTGGCTGGATGCAGCGCTGAGCATTGGAACCGTGGCTGGATGAAGGCATTTGCTCTGTGCCGCAGAGGGGAAACCATGTCCTCTGACTCCCTGCCCTCCCATGGCTCCAGCTCGGGGGCTGTGGGGGCACAGAGCGTCCCAGCCCCCCGGGAAGGAGGTGCTGTGGCCCTGTGGCAGCTCGGTGCCCTCCCTCTCTGCTGCTTCGGCTGCAGTTGTTGAATTGTGGAGCGACATTTGGGAAGGGTTCGGGGCTGTGGCCAGGCTAGGGGCCAGCTCGTGATGCTGGGGCTTGGCAGCTCTGTCCCTTCCAGCTCTGTGCTCAGTCCAGAAACTCGCCCGGCATTAGAGGGAGGGGGAAAAGGCTTGGCTGGAAAAATCCGACAGCACCAACCTCCCAGGCACAGGGGCTGAGTCACTGCGGCACTGGGGCGGGGGGCAGGAGGGGTGCCAGCGGCGCAGAGGGGGACGTGGAGGGGCGCAGGGGTGTTGGGGGCAGTTCATCCATCTGAACCCGACCTCGGTGATCCAGGCCAGATGCACAGAGGGACCCAGGGCTTGCACAGAAGGTTTAAACAAACCCAAGAACACATGGATGCCCAAACTGTGCTGTATGTCTTGACTGAATATTATGAGGAGCAGATCCCGCCCCCCAACTATGGAGGGGAAAAAATGGGGTGGAATAGAGGAGACCCTCAGGAGAGGAGGAACAGTATTTGCAGTGGGTGGGAAATGGGTGTTCGATGGTGTCTACCAAAAAATCCATCCCCCAACCGTGGGGTCAGGTCCTCAAGGCTGGGCTGGGGGAGCTCTTGTCCCCCTGCAGCCACTGGGCTTCCTGGGGAGGAGAGGTGTCCCGGGGACAGTCCCCAGCCCGTGGCCACCTGACCCCGCCGGGGCCCGGGCGGCTGGGCGGGGACAGCGCGGGCGGGCGGCCTGACCTCCGGCAGGAACGATGTGTCCCGAAGCCAGCGCTGGGAGGGGACAGCCGATGGGGACAGTGGGACATGGACAAGTTTGTTTACATTCCCTGCTGCTATAAATTGCCTGCTTGTCCTGGCACAGTGACGAGGAGCATCTCACACCTCCTCCGTGCTTGGCGGGGGAGCGCTCCCGTTCCCACTTCCCGCTGATGATGGAGGGGAAAAGATGGCACGGGGCAGCACTGGCATCCTCAGCACCTTCCTGCAGAGAGGAGCTGGTCCCACCATTCTTCAGTCCCCATCGCCTCCCAGCGGGGGTCATCCCTTCTTGTCCCAGCCCCGGGCAGCCCTTGATGGAGGGGACCTGCACGGTGCCATCCCCAGGGGGACACTGGTGTTGCACAAGGCTATGTGTGGTTGGGAGCCACCATTGATTTCCCACGTGGGTTTAAGTGGTGCCTGGAGCCAGGCAATTTCGGTGATGGGAAAGCAGCTCCAAGCAGGGTCTGAGCTCCCTTGGACCCCAAGCAACCTCAGGCTCATCTGTTGGAGCCCGACTAATATTTTCTCTTGTTTTCTCTCTCTCTCTCCCTATTGTATCTTGTGACATTTGTCCTGTCTGCCCCTTCCTCTCCCCATGGGGGGACCGTGTCTGTCCCCTGTGACCTCCCACCCTCCTTGCACCCCCCTCCTGGTACGCTGGCAGAGTACAACGCCAAGCTCAGGGACCTCAACAAGAGCACCAAAGCCCCCCGTCCTCCTCTGAACCAGCAACGGTCCTTCTCCTTCTCTGGTTCGTTCATTCCACCTCCCCCATTCCTTGTCCTCCATCCTTCCCCATCCATCCTTCTCCTTCCCTCCTTCTCATCCTTCCTTTCTTTTCCCTTCTCTCTCCTCCCTCCTTTCCCCTCATCCCTCCTTCCTCCCCTATCCCTGCATGCTGAGTGCTCTGTGTGTTGCATGGATGTGGGATGGAGGGAGGCTCCCCATGCAGGTTCGATCCCCTTTCTCAGCAGGGCGGTGCTCAGGGTTCCCCTTGACGTCCTCCGGTGATGGTGGAGCCCCTGGCCCTGGGTACAGGCTCCCCTGCCCACGCTTGGTTTTGCATCTCACCCAAGCCTGGCACTGCTCTCTGGTGGGGTTTCATCGCTGGGCTGGGTCCAGTCCCTCACTCCAGCCTCTCTGAGCTTTGCCCTGGCTGTGGCTCACACCTTGGGGAAGCAAGGGCCAGGGTGCAGCTCCGCAGACCCCTGGTTCAGCCAGCTCCTGGCTCAGCAGGGTCTCATCTGCCTCAGTCCGGGCATTTCTCCCATCGGTCCATCTGCAGCTGGGAGGGTGGGCAAGGGAGGGCTCCCAGCCATGCTGGATTTGCCAAGCAGGGTCTGAGCTCCCTTGGACCCCAAGCAACCTCAGGCTCATCTGTTGGAGCCCGACTAATATTTTCTCTTGTTTTCTCTCTCTCTCTCCCTATTGTATCTTGTGACATTTGTCCTGTCTGCCCCTTCCTCTCCCCATGGGGGGACCGTGTCTGTCCCCTGTGACCTCCCACCCTCCTTGCACCCCCCTCCTGGTACGCTGGCAGAGTACAACGCCAAGCTCAGGGACCTCAACAAGAGCACCAAAGCCCCCCGTCCTCCTCTGAACCAGCAACGGTCCTTCTCCTTCTCTGGTTCGTTCATTCCACCTCCCCCATTCCTTGTCCTCCATCCTTCCCCATCCATCCTTCTCCTTCCCTCCTTCTCATCCTTCCTTTCTTTTCCCTTCTCTCTCCTCCCTCCTTTCCCCTCATCCCTCCTTCCTCCCCTATCCCTGCATGCTGAGTGCTCTGTGTGTTGCATGGATGTGGGATGGAGGGAGGCTCCCCATGCAGGTTCGATCCCCTTTCTCAGCAGGGCGGTGCTCAGGGTTCCCCTTGACGTCCTCCGGTGATGGTGGAGCCCCTGGCCCTGGGTACAGGCTCCCCTGCCCACGCTTGGTTTTGCATCTCACCCAAGCCTGGCACTGCTCTCTGGTGGGGTTTCATCGCTGGGCTGGGTCCAGTCCCTCACTCCAGCCTCTCTGAGCTTTGCCCTGGCTGTGGCTCACACCTTGGGGAAGCAAGGGCCAGGGTGCAGCTCCGCAGACCCCTGGTTCAGCCAGCTCCTGGCTCAGCAGGGTCTCATCTGCCTCAGTCCGGGCATTTCTCCCATCGGTCCATCTGCAGCTGGGAGGGTGGGCAAGGGAGGGCTCCCAGCCATGCTCGTTTTGGGGTGAAACATGGGCAGCCGCATCAATAAAGTGCCCTGGGAGGAGGGGAGCAACAGACTTATGCGTGTCCGGTGGGACAGGGCGAGCCGGGCTCTGGCTCTGGTGGAGAGTGGTGCAGGGCAACGCCTACCGCTGATCCTCGCACAGGCAGGGAGCGAGTTCGCATCTCTGTTTTCCCTGGGCATGGTGTGTCCGTGTGGGGCTTCAACTGCTGGGTGCCGCATCCCGAGGGCCTCTCCTCTCCACCATGGGGGGCATCGCCCAGCTCTTGCCTGGCAGTAGCTCCAGCATTTCGTGCCCAAAAAGCAGCTGCCTTCTGATTTGGCCCAGAAACCCAGCTCCCCAGCCACAAAACCACCTGGGTTTAAATCCGTCCTGTTTCCTCCTCCCCCGGCTGCTGTGCTCCTGCCCTTCCCCATCCCAAGAGCTGTGTTTAGTCCAAGGGCAGGACTCTGCTGGGTGAGGGTTACGGTGAGATTAGGGAGTTAAATGAGCAGCAGAAGGGGTGGCAGTACTAGAGGTGGCGGGGGTGAGGGAGGGGAGTGGGGTGCAGGCTGCTGTTCCTCCTCGTGACGGGGAGCACCCCCCTGCAGCCGGGCAGGGCATCCCTGGGGGACCGGTGAGGGTACAGTGGCTAAGGGAGGCTGTATGTCTGCCGAGGGGGCACAGTGAGTGGGAGAAAGGAGAGTTTGTTTTTCAAGCGTAGTTTCCAGCCCATAAATCACCCAGGGGGTCGGGGGAGCCGTGATCAGAGCCTGGGTTTCCTCCAGGCTTTGCTCCGGGCAGCCCGTGAAGTTTCCCACTCTCGGCTCCTGAACAATGAGTTCCTTTTTTCGCCCTCTCCTCCCTCCCCTCCCCGCAGCCCCAGCCACTTTCCATGTCTGGGGAGCGGAGCAGCCAAAGCCCAGCGAGCTCCTGGGTGTCCCGATGGGCCAGATCCAGCACCCTGCAGCTGGGTGACTGGCAGCCCCGAGGATGGAGCAGGGGGTCCCATGCTGCAGCTGTGTGATGTGCACTGGCGGCCGGGCTCTGTCGAGCTGCTGTTTGTACTTCCCAAAGGAAAAGCGCAAAGCAAGGCAGGCATGCGCAACTGGAGGAGCCCGGTCCCTGCCTCTCCGCAGCGCTCGGTTGCTGCAGCTCACTTTGGGCTGGGCCAAGGGATGCTCCTGGTGATGCTCTTGCAGCGTGCAGGACACCCCACAGTGCACAAAGTGGAGGGGTGAAAATAAAATATAAGGGTTTGCTTTATTTTTCCTCCCCCATTTTGTTTCTCCCTATGCTCACAACTCAGGGCTTTGTTCCCTTAAAGCGAGGGAAAAAGGTATAGGGTGGCCCTATACGGTGCTACCCATGGCCACTGTGCATGCAGGGTGGCTTCCCAGAGACCCTCTCTGTCCCCCTGTCCCCTCTACGGGACCTTTTAATGGCCAGCCCCCGCTCCGGCGAGCACCTGCAGAAGGGATCGGGGAGTTGTGTTTCAAAGCTGCTCTTAGTGGAATTTTCCAGGCCGCCTCCGCGGCTGGAGCCGGCCCCGTTGGCTCGCGTCCCCCGCCTTGCAGCCCGGCCGCCTCTCCCCCCAAGCTGCGATTTTATTGTTGTTGCCATTCACTGGGCTGATTATTTAGAAATGCACCCAGGCTGCCCCCCGCCCTCCTGAGCTCCCAGCCCTTTCCCTGCTCCCAGCCCTTTCCTGGGGGCCGGGAAAGCTCCGGTGCGGGTGCTGGAGCCGTGAAGAGGGAAGGTCAGCGGGCACGAGGTGTGGGTCCCGCACGGAGCCCCGGGGAGCGAGGGGAAGCAGCTGATGGCTGGTTTTCCTCCGCCAGCCCGTGGGAAAGGAGTTGGTGTTTGAAAAGTGCATTTCCTGAAGCATGATGCTGGCCGCTTTTTTTTTTTTTTTTTCTTTTCCTTTTTCTCTTTTTTCCCCCCCTGTGTGCTGAGCCAAGGGAGTGTGAGCACTCCCCAGCTCTGCGGGAAAGGTGGAGGGGACAGTGCTGTCACCTCTGTTAGTGGGGCTGAGACTGGGGGTCACCCCACTGCTGTGCGGGTCCCAGGGAGGAGCGGGAGTCCTGCGGGGCTCTGAGCTCCGCCTGCGATGCTCTGCATGGTTCCCCTGCATCAAACCTGGCACCATTGTCCCTGAGCCCTAATTAACCTCTTTGTCAGGTGAGACGGGACGGAGAGTGTGTCTGGGACCTGCTGGGTGCTGGGAGAGTTGGGGTTGCACTCCTCATCCCAGCCCCCCAAGTCCCCCTGTCCTGCACTGGCTTTGTCCACATTCCTGGGCTTTATCCCAGCCCACGGGGATCGCTAGTGGGATCCACCAGACCCTGACAGCCCAGAGAAACCCATTCTCCCACGGTGACTTGCTCGATCCCTTCTTCCCCCTGGGGTCTCGGAGCCCCTTGGCACTGCCCCAGGCTGTGGGCGTGGGGCGCTGGAGTCTGGGAAGGAGGCTGGGGGCAGATGGAGAGGAGATGCCAGTCTCCCCTTTTAGGAAGGATTCATGCTGGGGGTAGGAGATCAGCAGCCCCCACCACTGGGGGATGCTGCCACCGAGCCCAAAACTGTGGTGCTTGGGAGGGCTAATGCAGCAATCCAGCCGCTAGCCACAACCCTGCCTTGCTTTTTTGCTTGGCCCTGGGCCACTGCCATAAGGTATTTCTGCTCCAGCTCAAAACCGACCATGTTGGTCCACGGGTTAGATGCAGGTGAGTGCTGAAGCTGCCATCTCTGCTGGGCAGAGCCCCCTCTGAGGCACACGGCCCTGGGGAGACCTCTCGGATCAGCCCTGGAGCATCTCCTGCTGGTCCCCATCTTAGCTGGTGGCTCCTCACCCATCTCCCACCCTGTGCTTGCCCTGCAGAGGTGCAGTCCCGGGAGAAGCCTCCGGAGGAGACCACCGTCCCTGCCCGCAAGCGGACCCCCAGCGACAGCCACTATGAGAAGAGCTCGCCGGAGCCCAGCTCCCCCCGCAGCCCCACCGTCCTCTCACCCGAAGTGGTCAGCACCATCGCAGCCAACCCTGGAGGGAGGCCCAAAGAGGTGTGCTGGGGTGGGGGGGCTGCTGGGGTGAGGGAGTGGCTGCGGGGTGCAGTCACCTCTGGGGAGGGAGAAGGCTTGGAGGGGAGTGTGGGACTTCAAGCATCCATGGCATCCTGCAGGGTTGGGGGTTAATGATGCTTGTGGTGGTGGTGGTGGTGGTCGTGGAGGGTCGTGCCCATCGTAGGAAAGAGACTGACCCTTTCTCCTGCTCTCCCCAGCCTCACCTCCACAGCTACAAGGAAGCTTTTGAAGAGATGGAGGGTGCCTCCCCCACCAGCCCACCTGCCAGCGGCGGTGAGATTTCTCCCCCCACCCCAGCCTTCCCTGTCTCGCCACAAACCCCTTACTCCAATCCCTGTAAGTGCTGCGGCTCCGGGAGGCGGAGGGGCTTGGTGGGTGGCTCTCGGCAAGCCAGAAATTCGCCAAGGGTCAGACAGCTCCGGGTTCCAGACACCCACCGCTGCATTAATCACTCCTCCTCTCCATCCTCCTCTCTCCTCTGCATCCCACCACTTCATGCTGCCATCAGCATCCCACTGCCATCAGCATCCCATGCTCAGTACCCTCCTGTTGGCTTTTTCCACCCCTCCACTCACTGAGGTGTTTCTTGGGTGGGATCCCAGGCAGGATAAGGAGAGAGGCAGGGTCCAAAAGACAGCATCCTTTCACCCCATCCCAGTGCTGCACCTCCCCATCTTTCCTACCAGCATGGCAAGAAGGGCAGTGAGGCTGCAGTAGCAGGCGAGCCAGGGGGGAGGCAGGACAGCCTGAAGACTGGGAGGGGGCGTGGGGCAGACTCTCGCACGCTGTCTCCAGGGCGGGAGTGGGAAAAGGCTGGGAGATGCCAGCCCTTTGCATGCAGCTTTGTCTCCGCTCCTCTGGCGCAGCATGCTTCCTTTCTGACCAACCCTGTCTGCGCAGTTGGCGGTGGGTTTGTGTGGATCGGGTTTGTGTGACCAGCTCAAGCGATGAACCCCGATGAGCAGCCTCACATCGGCACAGCACGACTTGGGCTTGGACCAGAGCAACAGAGCAGCCGGTCAACTGGGAAACCCATCAAAAAGATGGCAGCCCCTCCCCACCCCTCCCCAGCCCACTTTTGTAGGCTGGATGCTGAGGGATGCTTTAGGGCTGGGGATGCTTGGGCTGGGCACAGCCCCCTCTGATGCCACATCCCAGTTGCAGCGGGGCCACCTGTCCCCAGTAGCTCATCCCATGGGGCTCGAGGCTGTTTCTTCCTGCGCTGTTGCTGTTCCTCCCCTGCAACCTGCTGGCGCTTGAGCCCCGTCCCATGGGGTGCAGTGACTGGAGTGTGGGAGCGTCCCCGGGGCGTTTGGCAGCTCGGAAATGGCCCCGTTGTTCTGACGGACCCGGAGACCTCGGCCCCGGGGCAGCAGCTCCTTGGCAGTGGAACAGTGGCTCGTTTTGGGGGATGAGTCACTTGCAGAGGTGACGGGAACAGCCTGGCTGGGGACGTGGCCCGGAGGCAGTGCTTCTTAGCCAGCGCCGGCCGGGGAGGCCTGGGAGGTTTGAAGCTGCAGCTTGCAGGCTTCGCCAAAGTGTCCCCTGGAGGGATGCAGGAGAGATTCCCAGCCCTGGGGAAACAGCGGTCCCAGGGGAATTCCGGGCCCTGGGAGGACCTCGCTATTCGTCAGCCAACGGAGGTGTGAGCTGACACTGCGTGGCCTTGGGGCGAGGGTCTGGCTTTCCTCTGGAGCACCCACCACCTGCCGCCTCCTGGCCTCGCCACGGGCCCTGTGCCCGTGCTGCCAGCCGGGGACGTTCAAATACTGATGGAGGGATGTGCCCTCTGGTCCCTCTTGCTGGAGGTGAGACCTCAAGGTCTCCCCCAGGGAGATGCAGCATCACGGAGGTGGGTCAAACCCCGGGGGCAGGAGGGGAGAGGAGGTGCAGTCAGCCTGGGGAGGTTCACCCTGCTCTGCGAAACCCTGCCGGCCCACACTGCTGGTCCATCCATACCATAGCCGTACATACATATGCAGCTCCTCCTGCTATGTACGTATGAGCACAGGGGTACAGACCTCATGTTTGCATTGCCACCCCTCAGGGAACATACTCTGTGTAAACATCCTCACCTACCTGTCGAGCTGGTCTGGAGGGCAGGGTTTTTTTTGGCAGCCCTGCTGCCCCTTTTATGGGGGTGATGAGCTGCTCTGGGATAGCCCGGTGGGGCTTGGCAGAGGAGGGGCTAAGATTTGGGAGCGCTGGGTTGCGGGGCGCTGCTCTCACAGAGACAATGAAAGAGGCTTCCTGCCTATGGGGGGACCATTCCCTCCTGGGGATGCTGCTGGGAGATGGGGTCTGGGCCTCCCCTGGTGGGAATTGCCCTCTTTCTCTGTCCTGCCAGCCCCGCAATGGGGCAGACTGCTTGTTCCCAGGCATCTCCTCCCCTGTGTGCATCCCCAAATGGGGAGGGGGATCGGTGCCCTTCCCCGGGGTGCTGCTTCACACAAGGGCTCTTCCTGGCAGCCCCTGATTGCAGCTGGTGTGTGGGGTGGGTCATGGGGGCTCTGAACCCCTGCACAGCAGCAGCTTCCGCCGTTCTGAAGCTTCACCTCCCATCCCTCCACTAATGCTCTCGTGTCCCCTGTGCCGACAGTGCGTTCCCCCCCAGGCCTGGCCAAGACCCCGCTCTCAGCGCTGGGGCTGAGACCCCACAACCCAGCTGAGATCTTGCTGCATCCAGTGGGAGGTGAGTGCGGGCATGGGGGCTGCTGGTGGTTTTGGGGGAGGGTATGTGTCCCTGAGGACACCCTTGGAAGGGTACCCTCGCTGGAGAAGGCACTTCTGCCTCCCTTTTGGGGCCAGGTAGCCCTGGGGTCCTTGTCACCTCCTGTGGGGACTCTGGGATTATGTGAACGTGGGGGATGTTGGTGCTGCCCTGGGGGGCTCAAGCCCAGCAAGGTCTCTGGTGGCAGAGGCTGGAAAACCCCAGGGCCCTGCCTCTTCCTCAGCCCCATAGTCCTCCCTCCCTCACCCCCTGCAT